CGATGTGATTCTGCAATCTGTATTTGGGGTAAAAATGGGAGTTCATAACCCACTTGATTCTAATGTATGAAATATGATATGTCAAGAGCTTTGTAATGTTGTGAACAACCAATAAAAAAAATCACTAGCATGAAAATATATTTTCAGGGGATGTTTTTTTAAAAAGGGAATTTCTAGGAAAAATATAAATTTTCCTTAATTGTGCTGCTAGTGAATCATTTATCAAAGATTTCTATTAAGTATAACAAGCATAATCAAATACATTTAATGTGTATTAATGTATATATTTTTCTTTTAGTAGGGTTAGTGGTGGCTTCTTCCTTTATTCTACAAAGCACCTACATTGATAAGACCATGGATACAGAATCACTGCCAACCATGATGACATTTGGGGGTCTGTGATGTCATCACTGTTAGTATAGATTCTTCATACAATATATTTCTAATGTCTTGGTTATCATTTCATTTAACTTTCACATATTTGAGATTGCTTTCTAATTTCTTCATCAACTACATATTAGTCCTTAATTTCTATTCTGGCAATTTCAGGTGTTTCCATTTGTCCTTTCCTGTCTTTATAGCTCTTACTGCACAAGTTAGAGAAGCAATGTGAGCACCTGTCAACTTCCAAATAGATCCACTCTGGTGTGTCACTAAAGGACTCCTAGAATGATAATGAGTTAAGATGATAGATCCGCTTGACCCCTGTCAGATGGATTTTTTGCAGGAATTCCAGGAATTGCCTAGATTCCTTGCACTGCTATTGTAAATACAATGGTATTCTGGGCCTTCTGATGTATACACTGTGATTTTGTATCCTGAAATGACCTGGGTATTCACTGTTGTTCCACGGTGTAAAGTTACTTTGGTAAATAGCTGTGGGCCACTTTGGGGCAAATTACTGAATAAAAAGCTAGTTATCCTTGCTGGAGCATTATAGGATCTCATGCTCTATTCAGACAAATAGCTATAGCTCTGAGATTGGCTTAGATCTGGAAATTGGCAATGAATTGTAAGTTTTCCACTTAGAGTAACTGGCACCAATCCTGTGCTCTTAATTTTTGGTTATATACATTAAACAATATCATTGAGTGGCCAGATCTATCTAAGCCACAAGTATAAATCTGTGCAGGTCAAGACCCTTAGCTGTCATCTATACCTCACTTCCCATTATGCTAATTGCATCTGTGCTAATTACATTACATGGTAAAATGCTGCCATTTAGCCTTTGTTATTATGCAATCTAATAATCCCATGACATAAAGGAAACCAGCTCCATAATAAAGCCTCCAATGACCAATACCAGTCTATAGAACAAATATATTGTTAAGGTTTTCAATAATGTTTTGAACTTTTCAAGTGGCTGTTTTGAAATTTTGACCCCTAACTCTGCCAAGGTAGTTCTGGCATCTCAACTTCATTTATTGTAGGACAGGTTGTTTCCAATCTACAGGGATCAATTAAACAGCATGTTAAGATTGGCCTTAGGTTTTCTTTCCAAGGATTGAGGTTATTCATCAGAGAGCCTTCCCTATCAATAAAGAATACTCTATTCAGGTGCATATTTTAACAACTTGGGGTAGCATCCTTAACATCTGACCATGGCATATTCTTATCTATGCATATCAGCAAAATCCTGAAAATTAAAAAGCATAATAATTCTTTATTCCATAATCAGAGAGTGCCTTCTCACTTGAACTGGCCTTACACTTGACACAAATTGTGGTCTAGAACCAAGAGAGGAAGCTGAGTGCAGAGCTTTGGAAGAGCAAGCATTGTCTTGTGAGGCAACTGATCTCAGGTGAAGTTTCATTTGTGGTTAGATGGAGTTTATCCAGATAATCCACAATAATCTCTACCTATTAAAGTTCATAATCTTATTTACTGTTGAAAGGCACTTTGCTATGTACTGTAACATATCCACAAATGTCAGGTTTTACAGGGAGGGTACCTTTGAAGGTCCATTATGCCTACCACCAAGCCACTAGGTATGGGAGTATGGAGGTTATGGAAGGGAAGCAACTACTACATGTGGGTTACTGCACTCTTTATTGCTCCAGCAAACTAACTAAACTAAATCCCACAAGAAACTCTGACAGAGGATATAGAGCAGAGATCAGCAACATTTACTGTAAAGGACCAAAGAGTGCTTATTTCCAAGTTGTTCACAATATGATCTGCACGGCAACTTTTCCACACTTATGTAGTAGCACAAAAGCAGCCATAGATAATATGCAAACAAATGAGCATGTTTGTATTCTAGTAAAAACCTCACTACCAAACAACAATAACAACAACAAAAAAGTGGCAGCTGGATTTAGCCAACTGGCTACAGTGTAAAAAAAAAAAAAAGCTAATGTAGAACATTATTCAGAGAATTTTCTCACAAGACACAGTAATTTGGAACATTTATCTACCAACTGACCATAATGTTTGTCTGAGGGCCAATCATTAGTTCTTGCGTGCATTGAGCCTCCTCTGCTAATGGCTATACACACTGTTAAAGCCACAAGAAGCAGTACTGGACCAAGTCTCTGGTACAGGTAACAAAACACTCTGCAGCAACAGTACATGCTGGTAGGGCACTGACAGTGTCTGTTATAAGTGTCAATCTACCCACAGTCTGTATTTGTGGAAAACCACAGTATGCATATCTAGCCACGTATTGGGTTGTGTCATTGTATCGTTCTTTAAAAATAGTCAGTATTTATTGGCAGGGAGATGGGTACCATATTTAGGTGTAGGAAATGCAAGAGGAATGTGGTACTGTTTATCAGAAGAATAAGAGTTGGGGAATGCATAATAATTGCAAACCTTTGACACACACGCAAAAATGCACACACAGATAAGCAGACTCATAGAAGTTTAATTTTGTGGAGAAGATGATTAAGAGAACTGATAGGGATTTAAGTATGTAAACATGGTAGTCAGCTTCTTTTGTAAGGGGAAGTAATTCATGAGACTGGTGGGAGAAGAATCATAAAGATACTTTATTTTAGATAAATGAGGAGAATTGATAAATATTATGGAACAATGATATTTATAATAGATTAAATATGTGGTCCCACCTGTTGAGAGTAATGTACACTAAAAATCTGACTGATGGAGCTATAATCAAAGGATGAAATAGAAAAAAATTGACCATTCAAAAACTCATAATCACAGGAATGTTTGAGAGTGATCAAATACAACTCATTATAATGCTTAGAAATTCATGCAGCCACAGAAGATAGGGAAAAATTTACAATCAAATTTCACAGATGTTTGTATAGAAAACAAAGAATAAAGCCACATGAGTTAGGAATTGAATAGCAACTAACAAGGACTTAATTTATCCTATATAATCAAACCTATTTAAAGGCATAATTTGCAACAGTTTTGATAAACCAAGCCGTCACCATACACATCTTCTCATTTCAAGTGGTGTTGGAAAGTGATTCATTTACATTTATCTTCATTTTTATATCTGTTATTAACTGAAGACATAGTTGCATATATCATTCTACGTATACCATTACTAACATGTTTTATATTACATCAGAAATGTAGAAATTATTCTCAAACTTCAAATTTATTTTTTTGCTTACCTCTTCATTACCACAGTCACATTCTTCATTAGATTCCAAAATTCCATTACCACAAACTGGTTTATTTTTATATAATGGTTGCAAATATGAAAGGTCTTGAAGACATGGAGCCTCAAAATTTGAAATAAAATTCTTATATTCATACATGCTACAATTGCTAAATATCTTCATACCACTGGCTCTCCTAAAATGAAATAATATTCCTCAGGTAAAAAAAACCCTTGCTAATAAAATATTACATCCATACACAAATCATATAACTCATATAATGATGCATATAAAAATTTATATATTATAAGGGATTAAATCATCATAATTAAATTTCCATTTCAATATTTCTTAACTTTAGTATTTTCCCCAAAAGCATTTCTTATAAACTACTTTGGTTTGAATATGTTTTGTACCTTACAAAATCATTTTGCCTTTTAATATCCATTGTAAGTTATTAAGCAGGTGCAAATATAATCAGACTACGGTATTCAGAAATGAGGGCCTTTGAAAGGGAATTAAAATCAGATAGTCAGCAGAGTGCAGCCACCACAATTGAACACTGGTGGATTTCTGAGAAAAGCAAGAGACCAAAGAAAAAGGAGACAGACAGACAGTCTCTCTCTCTCTCTCTCTCTCTCTCTCTCTCTCTCTCTC